TTCCTGCGGAGGGCGATGTATGCGGGCACCAGCTCGAAACATCTGCTCACTCAGTTGTCATCCGGGGCTTGGGCTTCAATGGGTTCACATTCGGTCTTGCTGCCGGCGTGAGCAATTATCCTCGTCGCTGCGAATTTGAAGTCGTTACACGTCTCATAGGCGTGGGCAGCCACTTGCGACAGTGCTTCACCCCGTCCGATAGCCAGCTTGTGGTCGTGTATGCGCGAAACAAACGTGCGTTCAGTTTGCCCTATATAGTTACAAAGACAGCTTAGGTATGGAACGCGACTTGCTTTGGCCAAATTGAGTCTCAGCACCGAGTACGGATTGGGCAGGTCCTTGCACTTGTTTATGGACTCGGGGCCCATGAACCACATGAGCCACAACTTGGACACTAGCATCACTTCGCAGCGCTGCCACTGCATGTTCTACAATTCGATTCTTGTGAAGTCTTCCAGTTTCTCCGAAGTAGTTGCCTTGTATGCAACCGTACCAGATCCGATAGACGACTCAAGATGTTTCTTGACGCGGATTTTGATTTCATTATCCGACGTCTTATGAATGCCTCCAGCCTGTATGCGACTCCAACTCCAAATGGTGCCAGAATTCGGTTGACGGCCCCCAAAACGTTTTTGACGTACGAGATCGTTCGCCAAAATTCGGGGCCGGTGTGATTTTTTGACCAGCTCGTTTGCGAATGCATCGGTTGAAAAAGTTGCAAGGGTAGCCATACCAAAAAAAAACTTCTTCGCATTAACGGCCTTCGTTGTACCAGTGTTATGCTGGCCACATTAAGAGGAAGACACCACAGTCTAACTCTTAGTCCGCAAATCAGGCATTCCACACACGCACACACTGGGTTGTCCGCGCAGTCCGAATTACCCCGTCGGCTGGAAGCCTTCTAGAAAACGGGTTTTAGCGCAACATGGTAGCTTAGAGCACGTCAGACTGTTTATCGTGGGTGCAAGAGAGGATTTATGCAGAGTTCATGACTATGCCGAAGTGCCTGGCCAGGCGCTTAGGAGTTTGTGATGTCTCATTTAGAAGTTTTGGACTTTCAAAACTGAAAAGTGGTCTATACCTTTGGCTGGGGACCACAGACGACCAAAACTACTGCAAAGAAGGTCTTTGATTTGTTGCGATCCGCATACTCCTGGATCTTTTCTAATGTTCGAGACATCCAGGCGTCCTGCAATTTCCGCAACTGCTTTGCACAAGGCGGCGATATGGGTAGAAGTTCACTTTGCTTGCATAGGTCGGGCTGCCGTGTTTCTGTTTCGACCCGATATTTTTGTGCAGATCGAGGTTAGACTTGGTCTCCATTTGAGACAGTCGATCGGTGGCAACATCGGAGATGATGGAGGGGCGATTGAGCATACTTTTAGTTTTCAGCAGGAGGCGGTGTTTCGCGCAGATTCGTAGAAGAAGGTAGCCGTATTCCTTACAGCTGCCGAGACTGCGGGGATTCATCAGTCCCAGCCAGCAAGCATGGTCTGTCCCGACGCGGGCGTAGAATTCCAAAAGACAACCCGTTTATCACTCTTCGGCGCAGACTTCAAGATGCTGTGCAGTTCCTCATAGAACTTGTTTGTTGTCTCGTTGGAGTCGTAGACGCTGACCATGGTGCTGAATTTGTCTCCCCGCTGAAATTTCAGTGGGGTGAAAGGGCATGAGGACGGGTGTTGTTTTTCTTGTCGATTTGTGTGTTTCGAACGCACATTTTACGGTTGTCGAGTCAAGGCCGGCTGTAAGAGACGTGATAAGACACCCCTTCCTACCCTATTTTTGCGAGTAGGTGAGCAGAGATCTTTCTCTTAATATGGCCGCTTAGGCATCCCAGACGAAACTACGGGTCACGAATTAGTTTTATTTAAGAGGACGACCAACGAGCATTAATCAAATCACAAGTCAAAAGAGCGACCTAATGCTACTGTTATTGTGCTTCCCTACACGAAAGTTCGACTTTCGGGTTCCGACAGTGTCCACAGTGCGCTCTACAACGTGTAATTGCAGGGATGGTGGCTTTAACGTGGATTATTTTCATGTGAAAATACACCTACGTTGTATCTACCGCACTCCCTTTTTCGTCACCCGCCTGTACCCGGTTTTATTATCAAGTCAAAAGGCCGGAGTCAGGAACGAGTGAATGTGTCTGGTACGGACTTACATGCAGGCATGCGTTAACTCAAATGTGACAAGTACGTTGACCTAGGTTGGCACATACACTTAGAACGCTGGCTTTGATCAGTGCTACGGCTTATACCTAATTTTCCCGTGCTTGTAGCGACAATCACTCTGTGCCGGTGAGGAGTGGCATTAATGCGTAGTGTAGCCGGCGGGCCTGTGACGGTTTTTCATGGAGGCGCACGTGGCCTTATAGGAACCCGCGGTGTGCGAATGTGCATGGACAGTGAAGACGAGTGCTGCAACTGTATGTTGGAGCCCCACACGCTGCTTCATCAGTCCCCGTGCGATGGATTCGTAAATGATTGGCCAGGCCGATGCATGGGGTGAAGATGCGATTTCAGTGTGAGCAGGTTAGGCTCGAGTCCTCGGTGCTGGTGGAGGGGGTGATGGGGGTGGTGGCAGAAGGTAGTGCGTCAAAGGAGGAGGGTAGCGCGAGTAAGGGTTGTGGTGTCCGTGGTGATCGCCGTTGTGATCAGCGTGGAGGTCACGGCAGGGAGGATTTCG